AAGAATTTAAATCTGAAAGGTGTAAAATATGTAAAATGAAATTAACATACACAGAAACGAAACTAAAGTAACATTATATTTAGGACATCCGCAAAAATTGCCAACTATTACAGGATATTCAAGAACAAATTCATTTAGAAGCTTTATTTTGTCTTTTTATAATTAAAAATAAATAAATGAAATGCATCTACAGTGCATTTGCATTTGATATTGGCCAGTATCTAAATGTTAAACATGGAAATTGTAATGACGTTACATATATTATCTAAAAAAAATCCATCCGTGTAACCGTTTACTTGATTGGAAAAGTTACTAAAAATTGTCCGATTTGACAGCACTAGTATCAACACATAATTATAAGATTGGATGCTGCTCGGTTCGGATGGCCAGAGTCATTTTTATCACATAATTGAAGACATATTACTGGCATTTTGTTTTTCTCACATTACTTGAATTCTTGGTTGTCTACAACAAAAATATTTAAATTGATATTTGTAACAGAGATTTAATTTGCAAATTTAAAAATAATGTTACAGTAGTTAAGAACTGGAATTAATATAAAAGTAAGAAGAACTGGTATACATAGCTAACACAATAAAGCATCAGCAAAGTATTGAAATTATGAAGAATAAGAATCAGAGTGAAATGTATTGAGCATGGATATGAAAAGAAGTGACATACTGTTATGAATGAGATTGAGTGGCGTTTTGCTTTTACTTAAGGATTTTCCAAAACACTGATTGATTTGTATTTGAGAATAAATTGTAGGATTCTTATGAGATGCAAATCCAATTTAAAAGCTTCATCAAATTAAAGACAGACTGAATTATATGTCAAAAGAATGTGAAATGGCATTTCATTTTGAAATAAAAACATGATTTCAACTCAGAAAAACCAGTGGGGTACAAAGTAAACAAACTGGAGTGACATACCTAGATTCTCTCTAATGGTCTAATACATGTATGTTTAATTTGGGATGATTATTTTGATTCCTTCATTCCATAGCAACATTGATGTGAAGCCAGCAATTTTTTTCATGCCACGTACAGTATCTAATAATCTCTGCATTAGTCACATACCTCAGTATTTGTGTCAACGTTTTGAGTTTCTATCTTTAACTTTAAAATTTATCACGCAGATGTAGTGAATTTCCGTGTCAGAGGACAGTAATTGCACCATAGTGATTTTCCTTCCCAGAGTATATTATTTACACACACATGTACAGTCTTTACCAAATCTTTTTTTCAGGACATGCCCTTCGGGCAGGTTTAACCACTTATTACGCTAGCCCGAACAAATATTTACATGCCCAGAATTTTATCAAGTAATTTTATTCTTATCTGCCTTTTCATGCCAAGGAAATGATCTGAAATCCATTTCTATAGATCTATTGTCTCGCCATTAATATTGTTTTCAACCTGTATACTTTTTGTGTCTCCTTTGCAAAAGAGTTCCTTGGAAGTCACGTATTGTTTTCAATGTGTATACTTTTTGTGTCTCCTTTGCAAAAGAGTTCTTTGGAAATTGCTGTAGAATAAACTATCGTTAATATTTTATTTGGTGCTCCACTTTAGATGAAAAATCAGACTTTTAAGTACATTTAATGTTATTGGTATTATTTAAGTTGATAATACGGAGGCTTAGGCCTCAGAATTTACATGCCTTTCGGGCTTGTAAGTATGCAATTTCCACATGCCCGCTTCCAATTTTACCAGGTCCCAGGCTTCGGACTCCTGGAATTTGTCGAAGACTGCATGTAGTGAGTTTCCTTGCCAGCTAGAGTACATTATTTACACATATGTAGTGAGTTTCCTTGCCAGAGTATATTATTTACACACATGTAGTGAGTTTCCTTGTCTGTTTAAAATGATCACACACATGTAGTGAGTTTCCTTGCCAGAGTACATTATTTACACAAATGTAGTGAATTTCCTTGCCAAAGTACATTATTTGCACACATGTAGTGAGTTTCCTTGCCAGGGTAAATTATTTACACTCATGTAGTGAGTTTCCTTGCCAGAGTACATTATTTACACATATGTAGTGAGTTTCCTTGCCAGAGTATATTATTAACACACACGTAGTGAGTTTCCTTGTCTGTTTAAAATTATCACACACATGTAGTGAGTTTCCTTGCCAGAGTACAATATTTGCACACATGTAGTTAGTTTCCTTGCCAGAGTACATTATTTACACACATATAGTGAGTCTCCATGCCAGAGTACATTATTAACACACATGTAGTGAGTTTCCTTGCCAGAGTATATTATTTACACACATGTAGTGAGTTTCCTTGCCAGAGTGCATTATTTACCGAAATGTAGTGAGTTTCCCTGTCTGTATACATTTATCACACAGATGTTGTGAGTTTCCTTGCATTGGTTTATTTTCATTTTTGATCAATGTTTGGAATCAGCTTCTGTTTCAATGTTATCGATTATAATCAGACACCAGATTTCTACTTTACAAAGCATAATTTTGAAATTTTAAATTCAAAAGTAATGAGAATCTTTTATCAAGTAGTTTTTTAGAATCTACACACCTAGCTTAATTAAAAATCAAAACAAAAAATGGGGGTTAATGTGCTTCTCTTTGCGCTATTGAGCATTTAGTTTGACTTTTTTGCACTGTAAATACGTCTTACACATAAATCAATTTTTAAAGTTTTTCCTCCAATATTTTTTTCAAATAAATTATGGGAACAAACGCAGTCTTATTTCACCTTGAATAGGTGTATCAAAATTTGTGACAACAAAAAATTTTCAAATTACTTCGCAAGTTCAATTATTTGACCTTTTTGCACTCAGAAAATATTTTTCTGGCATTAAAAAATTTAACAAGCAATAATAATGACATTTTACTGAATTTAAGAAGAATGGTTAAAAGTATTTTATATATTCAGAAAAGAAAATTAAAAGTGGGGGTCTGTGATGTTAATTTTTAGATATTACCAAAATAGTGCTAATTTTAAGCTTAATTTAAATTACGGCTATTTTTTCTGGATTTTCACAATATATTTGCTATACTTATCAAATATAATGATAGAATTCATGATATTTTATTTGATATATAATTTAGGACCAGCATAAAACAATTCATGGCTCAGAATAACTCTGTGTGTAGGCTGCATGGAAAAATAGGAATCCAAACTTAACATACTTTAAATACTTTGATTGAGAAAGAAATGATCATTTTCTTCTAAAAAACCTTCCACCACAAAATATACTGTACGTGTACATAAATTGGCGTATTCAAAATTTAGCGAAATCACTGGGTTTTGAGGTGTTGGCGACATTATGAATTAGCGCTATAAATGTCTGTACCGTATATTGTATTTATAAATGATTTCTTAGTGGTATTCATGAATTAGTGCATTGTTGTCTGCGCCAAGGGCCCCCTAAAATATGAAGCCTGCTTTTTTAAGTACACATACAGTAGTTCCTCACTTAATGCTTTTGGTATGGAGTTTTAACTGAATATATTTTAATTGGTATTGTAGAATCCAAATTTATTGTAAGAACTAAAACATTATGCAAAAGTGGAAATACAGGTTAAGACAAAAATCTGCTCAAAAGCTCAGGAGCATTTTACTTCTTCTGGAGAACCACTTGGCAATTTTAATTTGTTTAAATGAAAGGTGACCAACTTTTCAAGGAGAAATAGCTATGAAACAGTGAAAATTTGATTCATATAAAAATCTCCTTTTTATAAACCATTGAAACTTATGTGGAAGTGTCCTGACATGGTATAGATTCAAGTTTGCATGTTCAAATCTGACTTAATGGGGTAGGTGGAACCAGTATGGAATCAGTATTTTTTTTTACATCAACATATAAAAAAAATGTCATAATAAGATGCAGTCATAACATGGTAGTTTGTTCAATTTTCTTTTTGTAATTAAAAATAAATAAATGAAGTGCATCTACAGTGGGGTAGGATAGGGCTACAATGAGGGATTGAAGTTTTTCATTGGAATGTATGTCACAACAGGACATTGATTAGTCATATTAATGTCCTAGCTGTTATCCTCAGAAAGTGCTGTACAATTTTTTTCCCAATCATGGTTCCTAGAGGTACCCGTAGAGTGGCACAACAATAGTGGATTAAAGTTTTTTGTGGGAATATAAAGGAAAAAATGTTTAAAATAAAAAAGAAATGGAACTTTTTTTTAAATACAATGTATTTTGTGATAAAGAACAAACAGCAGCATTTTTTTTCTTCCATAACTGGTACCATTGAACAGAGCCATTCCACCAAAAATGTTAATTATTCCTAGTTTGAGAGCATTAATATTTTTCATCAAATTTTGAATTCATCTATTTTTATGAGAAAAAAATTGTAAAATGCTAAGTTCAAAATCTTTGGGATTGGTATTTTGACTACTTTGTATGGACATTCTTTAAATAGTGCACTGTGCACAAATTTGGTTGAGAATGCACATTTAGTTAAGTATTTTAGTATATCCCTATTTGTTCAACCTATATATATACTGTCCTGTCTGTCCACTTTATTTTGCAAGTCATCTAAATATTTAAGTGGTAGCCAAAGAAATTCATTTTCAGGTGATTGATTAGTTTTTGTAGATGTGTATGAATTTTGATCTCTCCCCTGAAGCTAAGCTGAAGTGAAGTGATAATTTTGTTGAACATGAATTGTTAGATATCAAATGAATTCCAAACTTTAAGACTTCGTTTCAATACGAAGGGATATGTTAAGATTAGAGCATTGATTGGTGTATACAATTAAAAGAATGTCTTTGTGCTTGCATGATGAACTGGGTTGAAAAATTTTGAAAATATTAAATGTTTCCCTTAGCTTGTTGTGATCCTCCTGGACATCCAAGTGTTTTCGACATTGATGAAGATTTTGTCACTCTCTCTCTCTTGGACCAAACCAAGAAATGAATCAGATGGTTTTAAGAAGATTATAGGATATGTCATAGAATACGAAGACCCCACCACTGGAGGCAGGCTAATGACTACCCAGGAGATGAGTGTGTTTATGAGGGTGAGTAACTGATTACTTGTTGACACATGTATCTTTCTTATAAACTAGTAAGTGGATTTACATGTCCTTTTGTTGCATGTAATTAGTATGTTATGGCTGAAAACTGTGAAAAGATGTTTTACAAAAGTGATTCTTGAAATTTGTTTTGTTTACAAAACTTGAATTTGAGAATTTTTTCATCAGTGTAGGGATTAAAAAAGGACAAGGAATACAACTTCCACATACGGGCCAAGAATCTTGAAGGTTTTAGTGAGTCTAGTGATGTGATTGGTCCCATAACTCCCAAGCCCAAATACAGTAAGTATATTTGAAAAAAATTATAACATTTTAAAAAACAATTACCATATTGTACTTTAATTTCAATTATTTTTTCTTTCACATTTTTAAACTTTTATTTTAGCCAAGGTTTTGCCACCTGGTGTACCAGAGGCTGTCAACAATTCTATAACATATCTGAAATGGGAACCACCTAAACATAATGGTGGCTGTAAAATTACAGGTACTAATTTAAAAGTAGAATAAAAAAGGGAAATGTTGATCTCTGTTCAAAACCACATAAACACTGTAGCAGTTGATAATATTGATTATCTTTGTAGACTACCTTGTGGAAGAGAGGTTTAAGGGAGCAGAGATGTGGTGTAAGTGTAATGAGTACCCCTGCACTGACCCCTCTTTACTGTCACCGATCTTCCTTAGGACTCAGAGTGGGAGTTTAGAGTTACAGCTGTTAACTTTGCTGGAAACTGTGAGCCCAGTCTGTGCTCACCAGCATACAAAATCCAGGAGAAGATTGGTATGTTGTCAAGTTAATAAATGTATCGTACATTATTATGGCACTAGAATAAAGATTTGGAGGTCAAATTAAACCATAATGTGTATTTTCTTCTCAAAGCCCATAATATTCTCACTTTACTGGTCAGGAGCTGAAATTTATGTGAAAGCTTCCTGATGTAATAAAGATTTCAAATTGTTCAAAAAATGGCCTTTGAGGTAGATGGGGCCACAATAGGGAATCAAAGATTTACCTTGAAATATATACATACATTTATGTACTGGTTAAAATCTTTACGAATCCTCTTAAGAACAACTGGACCAACGGGGGGGGGGGGGGGGGGGGGGGGTTCAGAGACCCTTTAGAGTTAGGATAGGGTCATAATATGAGTTCACAATTTTGCATGGGAAAATTAAGGAGAAAAAAACTTTATAAACATTAAGAAAAGCTTCTTTTAAGTTACATGGGAAATGTTGTAGCCCATGGGACTCTTCTTTGCATGCATAGTAAAGGCAAAAAAAAAATAGATAACCCCTATTGTATTCATAAATTTGAATCTTACTTTTTAAGAAAAGTGTTATTTTCCAATTTAACATCTAATTTGAATGTTTTGACAGAGTCTTTTGCAATTGAGCAGGATGAGGAATCACACCAATCATTGTAAATGAAAGCAGCAGTCATGATGTTGTCAATGAGAATGGTAATCTATATTTATGATGTTGTTTGGATGTTACAAATTAAAAGTTAACCCCATAAAAATGAACAGTCTTAAAATGATAATTTCTTTTTTAGAGTTTTAAATAGGATATGATACAGGGCCACTTTTAAGTGATGAAGCAGACGAGTATGATGATGGTAATGATGATGAATCATACCATCCTTCAAGCAATGAAAAAAGCTGTGATGAAGATACCATTAATGATCTTGGTAATAAAGCTGAAAACAGAACTTTCTTAAGCTCAAGTAAGCTTTTCTGATCAAAGTTTGTCCATTGTCCATCTCCAGCATCATTGTTGTTTCAAATTTTCAGCTCCTTCTCAAGAACCACTGCGTCAATTTCAACCAAACTTGCCACAAAGTATTCTTGGGTGGGGGATTCAAGTTTGTTCACATGAAAGGCATCACCCTATTTTAAGGGGATATAATCAAAAATAAGTGTAAATTTGATGGCATCTTTAAAAAAATCTTCTCCAGAAACAATGGGCAGAGTTGTTTACTTGTACAGATTTTTAGTATTTCCCATGAATCTTCAAGTAAAAATGTGCTCTACAGATTCACGTTGAAAATATACAGATTTTCCCTAAAGACGGAAAAAAATCAGAGTCGTTCCCGAAATTTGCCAATCAGTTTGATAAAGAAGCTTGTTGATTGAAGTGGTCTTATCAAAAATGATCTAAAAACAATATAATTAAGGCAAATGTAAAATATGTAAGCAACAGTAGACAGCATACGGTGACATGCGTAGTTAGTGCTTAGTATTTGTATAACAAGGGGTTCTTCATATAAAAATGTCTAATAAGCTGAGTTGCATTTTTACTGACAAACTGCTCAAAATACTGACAACTTCTAGAATACTGACATCAGTTAGAAAAGTTAAACAGGTCTGAGTGGGCCAGAAAAATTATTCTCCAGAACAGCAAAGCCATGACAAGTCATATTAATACAGAAGCATACTCAGGTAATGTAGCTTGAAGTTTTATCAAGTAATGTCCCCTGGCAGAAGGGTGGGGACACAATGGGGCATAAGACTTTTACATGGAATTATATAGAAAATGTCTTTAAAGGCCTTCTCAAGAACAACAAAGCCATGATTTGTTATATTAATACAGGAGTATTTTTCAGGTAGTGTACATTCAAATTTATTCAAATCATAACATCAAGGGGTAGGATGGGAGAAGTAGTTTCAGGTTTGTTCAAATCATCACCCACAGGGCATAGGGTGGCACCAATTGTATAAGTATAATTACTCAAACTTTTCAATACTGAACTGATTTCTGCTTTTCTCTTGCAAAAGGGCTCAGGTGTCATGGACCATGGGCCTCTTGTATAAAGTGTTATGTATTACATTGTACAATATGTAGATTGTTTAAAGTGAATTAAAATTCTGGCAGAATTTCTGTCTTGAATTTTAAGTATGACTGTTTCTTTATTACAGTTAAGGATTAATTCCATAAGTTGTTTTTTCTCCAGACATGATCACAGTCTGATAAATTGACAAAATTCATTTTAAATAAATTACTTTCCTTTGATTCACATTAACATGATGTTCATTAGCCAGCATTATAAATTATAAATATCTCCATAAGGAGCTTAAATAGAGTGTTTCAATCATGCCTAACAGATTGAAGTATGGAAAAACAACTTTCATACCTCTTCATTAGGTTTGAATGGGTAAGATGAGGCCATAATGGGCAATCAAAGCTTTACATAGGAATATATAGGGGGGAAATGTGCAGGGCCATTGTGACATGGGTGAGCCATGTGGCCCATTGGCCTCCTCTATAAAAATAAAGATGAATCCCTTTTGTCAATACATGTACATAATTATATAATAATTTCAGATATGCCCAGTAAGCCTCTCAAATCTGAAATGCAGCAGAAACAAGCTGCACTTGCAAGTGACAGCGAAAAGGACAGTGAATGTGAAGATGATCATGATGATGTCAGCAAAGTTTTACCACAGTCAGAGAAGCGAAAGACCAGTTTTTTAGAGGCCAAAAACATCATCTGGGAACTATGATAATAAAAAACATTCATGTCTCTTTTGTGAGAAGTTTTGCCAGCAGGCCAATTGATGGTATGCATATCATATAAGCCCATAGCTCTTTAAGTACAAAAAATTGTGAGATTCATTTTTGCATATAGGTTCAGGATGGAGCTGAATATTGAAAAAATATATCCTATAAATTTTTTTTCGTGGACATGTAGCAGACAGCTGTTTGCATAATTTAAGCAAGTAATTATTTTTTAACCAAAATTTGTGAAATTTATCGCTCATGACCCATTGTTCATGCAAGGTTTACCTATTTATATTGACACTGCAGCAGACCCATAGAACGCCCCCCCCCCCTCCCCCCACTTTTTCTGAGTATAGAATTTTGCTGTAGTAAAGTATCCTTTATATCCTGGTTGCCGTTGCCCCCCCCCTACCCCCCCCCCCCTTTTGTTGCAATAAGGTCGGTTCAGTAAATAATGTTTGTTTTTTTGCTTGTCAGATATTTTTTGAAGTCCCCCTACTTTTGAAACCCTTGCTATGGGCTTTAAATTGAAGTTTTAAAAAATCCTTCACTGGTGAACATCTAGCAGGCAAACTAGCAGGCATAAAATTAAATATGAAGATTATGAATAGTAATTAAACTCAAAAGTCCATTAGAATAATCCATATTCGTAGCAGAGCAAACATGGACCTCTAAAATTAATCTTAATTAATGCTTAGCCCTCTAATTGAAGGCTTCTTCATGTTTCAGGCCCATGAAAAGACAGAGTTAGTCATAAATTAGAATGTTTTATACAGTATTAGCCAGTATACCTTATCCTCTTTACTTTTGAACTTCTAGGAGTTCAGCTGCATCATTATGATAATAAATATAGAATTCTTGTGAAAATTTACGATTTTTGTTACATGGGTCTAGATTTCTAGATCCAGGCGGTTTTGAAATGACCACAGCCTGAGAAATTCATAATACTCAGGTAATAGTCAAAGCCTAGGGCCTTTTGTTGCATTTTAAACACAGGAAGTTATTAACTGCATGATATTTATATTTCTTGCTTGGTTGTCAGCTTTAAGCTTAGAGATTTTTTTTTTTATTTCGAAACTTGTGTGTTGTTTAATGCACTAAGAAAATGCCACTATATTTTGCACAAATACTGACTTATTGTCCTTGATTGTTCTTCTGTGAAAATAAGCTTATTTTGGATACCTTAAAAATTAACAGCAAGAATTATCTATTAACACTTGGCTTATACATGTGTATCTTATTTCATGTCAGCATTCTTTTCATGTATTTTTTTGTATAGTTGATGCAATTAAATTGTTTCATGCAAACAAACCGTCTTTTTTGTTTGATCTTTCAAAATGTTGTAAAACATTTGAGCAAAGGGATAAGAGAACTAAAGGGTGCTGTATGAACTGCATTTCGTAAAAAATCATGGTTTTAGAGACCAACGTATTTGAACAATGGGATTTTTAAATGCTGAATTGGAAAATGAAATGATGAATATGAAATGATAGAATGTTATGCATAAGAAAAACAATGAAGTGGACTTTCCCCACCAAAGTAATTTCAGTTTTTTGAAGTCATTAAATTGCAAGAATAAATAAGAGGGATCATTATTTTTCCCCTTATTTCAGGTCCGTAGAACGCGGAGGCCACCCCCCCCCCCTTTTTCTGAATATACTATATTACTATTGTAAATTTTTCTTTGAATGCTGGTTGTGGTGTCATCCACATAAAAAAGAACGAGATGTTATTACATGAACAGTAGTTAAGTAATTTGTAATCCTATAAAATTCTTGTTAAGAAAAAAATAAACTCTTTAAGATCATAACAAACATAATGATTGCATTTAAAATTGGGGAACGATTTTCAATTTCTACTTGTCTTACTCAATGCAACAGAAAAAAAACCCAAAACGAATATTCTTGACGAAACAAGTCTTGAATCAACGCACACTCGGCAATTCATTGCCGTCAGCGACGTAAAAGCAGAGGGGAGGGGTAGCTTGGCCCCTCCTTTTTTCAAACTTAAAAGTTTTATTTTTAATTTACTGTGAAAGTGTTCATTAAAAGCCCCCCCCCCCTACACACACTTTTGTTATGTATTTAAATGCGGTCATTTTATTGTAAAGAAATTTTTTGGAGGGTTCACAAAAGTTCAACCCACCAATAGGATTTTCGACTTTTTGAAGTTAACCTATTTTTCTTGCTTGCCAAAGATTTTCGGGTATTAAGTTGTATTTTCTGCCCCCCCCCCCCCCCCCGACTTTCAAAAACGATGTTACGTGCCTGGCCGTTAATACTTTTAAATCTTTGTCATGACTGTTAATTTATTCTTCTCATTTCATTTGCTTTATATTAATCTATATACAGATGCTGAAAGCCAATTTTTTATCTTTTAACTTTGTCGGATATCCTTTGACAATTTTTTTTTCTATAGCATACAGACTTCATGCAGACATTGTCATGTATTTTCGACAATTTTTTGGAAAAATTGGTGTTTTTACGGAAAACACATTCAAAATTTGTGTATGCTGAATGTAGTGATTTTCTTGTATAATATCTTACAAGAGTGTTTATGTACTGAGTTTCCTGTGTGTGTCCTGGTAAAGCCATGTAGTGACTTGTCAACTTCCGGTGTGTGATTGAGCAAAATCACGTGACCAAATGTAGTGACTTTTAGGTGAAAAATCATTTTTTCATTATTTGAATTTTCATCTTTCTGAACCTCATTTGCATATACAAAGACCCATAGAATCACAGTTATGGTCTGTTTATCTTGTTAGCATTGCTAGAACATAGTGTAGTGACTTTCAGGTGTAAAACCTCGTGTAGTGAGAATTGCGGTTGTACACGTATGGGTGTGTGTGTGTGTGTGAGGGTGTGTGTGTGTGTGTAAAAGTTTGTTGATTATATTGAGACCTGTTTTTCTTTCGTTTACAATGCATGTACACGGGCCTCTAAAAGCATCATCTGCATAAAATGGTGCATAAATTTGTGTTTTATTCGGAAGAATTCTTTAACTTCTGGGTATCAAAATTTAAGGAATAGTCTTCAGAAAATTGAAATCTAATAAAAAAAAATATAGTCCAACAATATAGATAATTTGTAAATAGAATATAAGCTGAAATACCATTTTATTGTCAAATATCGAACATCGAAGAGTCAATGACTTGTTGTTCATTTTATTTATGTTAGACATATGTGATAGCTTTGGAATAAATTATACATTTCACAAATTGCATTCTAAATAATAAATGCTGTTTTGAATTAAATACGATTCATTCATATTCGATAACAAATGTAAATTTATTATGGTTCACCGAGTTCACGTTTATTGAGATCAAACGAAACTTAAAATAACCATATCTCACCCACCGGGAGTCTTTTGTACTGATCAGGTAAACGAAATCTGTGGTCAAAGTTAATTTAAAAGCAATAGTTTAAAAAATTGTATTAAAAAATCGGTCAATTTTCTGCCCAACGACAGGTTGTATTTGCAAAATAATGGTCATTAACTGAAACGTCACCATTGGGAAATGCTGGTTTTAACGATACTATTAAAATCCCTTAAAGTGTCATAACTTAAAACGCAAAATAAAGAAATAAATCAATTAAAATAAATAAAAAATAAAATAATTATCATATCGAAAGAAAAATACATAGGAGGATTTCATTTTAGATGGTCAATTTCCGTCACTGTAAAGATTGAAAAAAAATTCTGAATTAGCATTTGTTGAATATACATGTATGTGGTAAATATAGGCCACAACTTATAATATAATGGAATTATATACCTTACTGTTCAAGGCAAGTCCATGTTATAATGTTTGTAATTTATGACTGTTGTAGAGTAATTACTATAATCTACCAAAATTTTGATTTTACGATAACATGTGTTTACACAGAGCAAGCAATAATCGGTGTTTGACCCTAAAGGTTGTTCTAGTTTAATAAAGAATCAAACACAACTACATGTGATTAACAGCTTTTGATATAAATGGAATGGTTTATTCACCGATGACTCATTGCTTTATAGTTCGTTTATCTCCTAGCAGAACAATCTTGGCCACATAAACATATATACCGTCTGTAAATCACTTTTTATTCGCGAGAACTCTAATTACGCGAAATGGTCTGCTCGCGAAAATTTCATTCTCGCGTATATTTTTATTAATAAAGATATATAAAACATTTATAAAATTGGTAATAGAAATTGTCTCGTTTATAAATACCAAGCACTTATTTCGCGAAAATAAGGTGTCGTGAAAATTTGGTGATCTACAGTATTTTTTTTTTTTTTTTACATATTTTTGATTGTCATTATCAAGATTATTAAAGAAACTAAATAAAGTACACCAATGGGGAGGGAGGGGTGGGTGGGTTGGCACATATTTACGAGTCGGAAAAGGTTTCAGTAATATAAATAATGAGGAAGGCACAAAACTTTGATGAAAATTTGATCTTGTGGATTAATTCAACATCAAAATCCATGAAAATTAGTGTTCAACGAATAAGAATGAAACTACAGAATTAGTGTTCAACTATCAATATTGCAACAACTTAGCAGAACATCTAAGAAACCGGGAAATATAAATTTCTTTCAGTTTGCATTTTCTGGAATCACTCTTTGTCCGTTTATTTCATAAACATTGATTATGTTCAGGAACAGTGATAAATGTGATACTCATTTGGGACAGAGTCACAAACTAATAAAAGATCAGAATATTTTATTTTTCTCATTCCGTTTTATTGTCCCTAATCATGTTCAATAACTAAGTGAATGATTTCCAACATTACATTGGCGTGGAACATTAAAACTCCTGTTAAGTCAATAGAACGTTAAAGGACTACTCTTCATACGTGATTCTGCTATGTAAACAAATCGTAATGATGTGGTCAAAATAGAAATTATCCATTTAACTTTGGTTATATCCATGATTTCACGCCTTTATTTTACTGCCACTGAAAATGTTTCGTAGTATGTCGAGGAGGTGTGCTGTATTTTTCCTGGTGTCGCTTTTCTCTGTCGGTCAAGCTCTTGGGGAAATGGACCCAGAAACATCCCTCCAAAAGGCACTCTTTAATGGATACAATCGATATCGTAAACCGGTCCGCAACAGAACTGTCAGTGTTTCATTCGGAGTCACCATTAAGCTGTATAGTATAGAACATGTCAACGAGAAGACGCAGACATTTTCATCAATTATCTGGTTAGCCTATGTATGGAAAGATGAATATCTCCGTTGGAATATTTCGGAATATGACATTAAAAGCCTAAGGATTCCAGCCGTAAAAGTCTGGGTTCCTTCTGTTTGTAATTTGAATGAACTAGAAATTGGCAAAAAATGTATGACTTTTGAATCCGTGAAAGACAATGAAGTTTTCATTTCACATGAAGGGGTTGTCCGTTTATATGACACGGTAAGGAGCTCCATTCAATGTGAAATCAACGTACTGAAGTACCCGTTTGACGAACAGAGATGCACATATGCATTTCAGTCCCTCTTATCAGACACTCACCAAACAGAGATTATAGACAACTATTCTTTCATTCACACATCAAGCCTAACAAATAACGGAGAATGGAGCCTCCTTTCTGTAGAGAAGGAAATAAAGAAAACACGGTACGTAAGTAGTAATTCCACATACAGTAATATAAATTTTGTCGTGAAAATACGACGACGTCCAATCCTTGCTATTTTAACTTCGGTGATACCGATAGTTGCGCTCTCAGCAATGAACATTTTCTGCTTTGTTCTGCCAGTAGAAGCCGGTGAAAAAATTGGCATGTCTATGGCTTTATTTCTAACCTTTGCTGTGTTTGCCAGCATTCTGAGCGATACAATGCCCTCGTCCTCGGAGAACATCTCGTGGTTCAGTGTTTATGTCACCACACAGGTTATTCTGAGCGCCATCGTTGTAATTCTGGAAACTATCGTTCTCCGTATTTATCATAGAGATCCCATGTCAAACGAGAATAAAGATAATACACAGCAATTTTATTGTACGACTGTCAACAACGGGGTGGAAAGTAATAAAACATTTACTAGGCCAGAAGGACTTGTGAAACTTACCACTTCCTGCAGTAAAGATACAGCTTTGAGGGTAGAAAATACCTTTATGGCGGTCATCATCTTCTTAAATATTGTTTCAATTTGTGTTTTAGGCGTGGAAATTCTTTAGTTTTGACTTTCAAGAGGTAAAGAAGTGAATTTCTGTAATAGATTGAATGAAATTTAGAAATGTCCTTTATTTTTTTTTAGTTCACTGGGATTTATGCATATATCGAGTAGATAACTGAATAAAAATAAGTAATGTTAATTGATAAAACGTCAGCGATATATTGAAAGCAACAGACATCATTTTTTTCTCTCGTGTAGAATTTGCGCCTATATCAAATTCTGCTTCATAAGAATATTAAAACAGGCCGTATATAAAGGAACACAATTAGTGCACATTGGAGTTCCGACAGATTGTTGGAAGATCTGGTCAATGAGGAACTCCAGCATATCATTGTACTATCATTTTCAAAGCACTTGTGAGTAGAATGAGAATGGTTTTAAATAAAATAAAAATGTAGATGAACTTGTCAATCAAATACTAGTATATCGTAAGGAATGGCTTTATAAAGTCTTGAAGAATCATACAATTTGAGGTAATGGATTTTGAAAATAAATGTGTTTTCAAATTATCTAAAATGTTCTGTCATATGGTTTTGAAGAATCTCTTGAAAGGAAATTAAGAGTATACTTTAGATAACAACTTGCAGATTTGAATTCAAGTTCTAAAATGCAATATAATTGTAATAATGAAACTTTCAAAGGACTGTGTTATTGCGTGTTCTGTCAACTAGAACCAGTATATATACAACTTGTACTCTTTAAATTAAAAAAAAGATTATAATAATGAACATGTTCAAAGAACTATATTTTTACATGTTCTGTCAACTAGAACCTGCACATACATGTACTTTTAAAAATACCTATTACATTTTATTCACTAAGGACATAAGGAAAGATGCTTAGCATTTTGCCACTAAACCGTTTAAACAAGATTTCGATATCCATCTTATACTTTGAATCCATTCTAACAACTAAAAGCATCGATGTCTTCCCATTTACATGTATGTAGAATCTTCGACAGAATTCATAATATCTATAAAATATTGTCACTTATTGAAAGATTGGGGTTCCCTAAATTATGGACCCTTTAAAAATATTGAATTAAGGTCTTCATTCTATAAATAAATACACTTTAACATTAATGATGTTAAGCGGGACTACAGTTGAAAATGAAAGAACATGAACACGTTGGAGGATACAGTTTCAGATGGTCGATATCAAGGCATTGTGGAATTTTTATATGTAATTAAAAAGTTTGCAGATATATATATGAGATAAAAGTAATTTCGCATGTGTTGTTTATACTAAGATCCATTCACGATTGTCATGTACGTACAGAAGTTATTTTTAAAATGAACAAAAGACATTTATGACAACCTAACAACAAAACTTAATGATTATATTCTACCAGATGATTCGTTACGCAAGAGCATGCACTACGTACGAACAAAAACGAGGCGCTATTGACTAATAAGTTGATGATAAAAGGATATCAACAGTCCCCATTAAAATCAACATTTCGCAATTTCTATGGTCGATACAATGACCTTGTTTAACACTATATTGTCTACGGATTTTTCCGTTTGAACGATTATCAAAAGGAGGACATGGCGGGTGTGACCAGTCGACAGGGAATGCTCACTCCTCCATGGCACCTGATCCCACCTCTGATGTTTTTAGAGGTTCGTGTTTACGCTGCTCTCAATTTGTTTTGTTTAAATGGACTTTTGAGCTTGACTGCTGTTTGTTATCTTCATATTTCATGTCACTTAGCGTTATTTATTGATCTAAGAGTACTGTCCGTGCATGAGCTTAACAATTATTATATATCACAATGAGTATACAGCCAGCATTATTTACAATGTATTAACGTAATGACAGAGTAATCGCCCTTTAAAAGGTCATTTATATAATATCACATTCAATTCAACTTTGGTATTTTACAACAAGTTTACATTCTCCAGAAATGCACTACATCATTATTCTCGTTGCAAAACAATTGCTGTCATGGAGTCAATGCGGTTACTTGCGTTCTTTATAACAAGTAAGTTAATGGTTACATAATGTTCTATAACGAAGTTATTTTATATTCATCTTGGATTCCAAAATATGATGAATTGAGTTTCTATCAAGTCTTGCACATTTTATGTATATAACAAAAGTTATACATAATTTGAAATTCATATCCGTGATGCAGAACTCTAGACGAAAGGTCTATTTATCTGTATAGTGTTTATGGTGATAACGTAGATTAAAGTGAAATTAAGTTCTCCGATTCTTTTTCAGTATATACTGTACAGATTTTAGGGCATCGCAAACTGGATGTACGCATAAAGATAAATGAAGTGCTATACGAGAGAAGAAGAAACATCAGAAACAGCGAACAACCACGTGCAGTAAGCCGTGTAAGAGAGCTGCTAATGGACAACAACAACGGTTTAAAAGTTGTGGATAACGGTAAATCTATCGAGAGCACAAAAATCCTCCGACTCCAAGAAACTTACAAAGACATTCCCATTTTCAATGCATACATAACAGAAGAAGTTGATTCCGACACGGATCAGTGGACAGGTCAAGTTTCTGGTTCATGGTACGATGAACTGGAGGAGGATATAATTGATGTTGTTCCACGGTTGAGTGAGGATGAAGCGTTGTCAGCTGCTGTGCTCAATGAGGGATTAAACAATACGTCAGCATTACATAAAAGTGAGATTCTCTTGATGATCATGCCAACTGATGGCGGAGCAATTCTGTGTTACGATGTTACATTGACAATTATCACACCAGAAACAATGAAAAGACCAGGATATATTATTGATGCAAATTCGGGACAAATACTTTACAGAATACAGCGACTACAGAATTTTGGTATAAATGCTGTCGGTGGAAACAATAAAACTCAGAAGATTAAGTATGGTGAAGACTTCCCGCCTTTAAAAGTCAAAATTGGCAAAGCAAGGAAAAAATGCAGACTAAAATCTAATTACGTACGCGTGTTCGATTTACAAACTGCAAAGACACTCCCGTCAAAATCTAAGCCATATACATTTCCTTGCAGCAAAGGCATAAAAGATAATGTGAACGGTGGGTTTTCTCCTATGTCTGATGCCTTTTATATATCTGAGCAAGTCTTCAAAATGTTTGAAGATTGGGCCCACACGCCTGTTGTTACCAAGCCTCCAGTTGACGTATGGGTACATTATGGAAAGTTACAATTTGAAGCGTCGTACAATGGGGAGGGTATAATTTTTGGAGATGGTGGCAAGTATTATTATCCACTGGTAACATACGATATAGTGGGTCATGAATTTGCTCACATATTTACCGAGGGGCACTCACATCTCGTATATGCGAATCAGTCTGGGGGTATCAATGAGGCATATTCCGACCTCGCTGGAGAAGCTTTAGAATTGTACATAACAGGGATGTTTGATCTTCATACCGGTGCCAAGTCTGATAAAAACGATAATGAAGGTATCCGTGATCTATGTGATCAAAATAAAGATGGTAGCTCCATAGTCCATGTCAAAAATTATCAGGATGGAATGGAGGTTCACGAGTCCAGTGGAATATTCAACAAAGTTTCTTGTACATTGATCAAAGAACCCACTTTTGGACTAAAGATAGTTTTTCAGATCTTTACTCATGCTAACAGGTTCTACTGGGCTCCTTATTCCAATTTTTCAGATGCGGCCTGTGGGGTCCTCAAGGCCGCTTATGATCTTGGTCACGACACAGAAATTATTCGAAAAGCATTCAAGGTAGTAGGCATCAACGTATGCGAAATAGAGACATACATGCGGAAAATTTACGGGAAAACACACATAAAAAGTTTGACAGCAAAAGGAACGGAAAATATTGTTTTTGGTTTTGACGGACGGACATCTTCTGGTCAGCTAGTCCGGATTTTTACAGAGGGTGGATCAGGTGACGTAGATTTGTACGTAAATAATGATTTAAATCTAGACAAAACTTTGACAACATACATATCTACTTACAAAGGGAACGTTGAGGTAATACAGATTCCATTTAAACAATGTCTGATGAAAATATGTTATATACATCTTGTCCCAAAAGCTGAAGGCTTCAGAGAAGTTTCTTTTCAATTAAATATTATTTGAGAATGGAGAGTTCAAAATGAAAGAATTCTGAAAGTAGACGATAGTCATCTAAAAACTGTAATTATATAAACTAAGAATTATTTATGATATGCAAGAGAACAAAATTATTGGGGACCCTGCTGAAGGAAAAAGGATATTTTAAAATATTTAGAAATACTTGATTTGTTCAATTTATCATTAATTTACTTTGCATGTTTTCTACGTGTAATATGACGACACGGCTTATGGTATGTGCCCAGGCCCGTAGGAAGCAATTTCACTTTGAGGGGGCACGACCATACATTTTCAGTTGGGAGGGGGGCACATTCAACAACCAAAATTCCTTGACAAGCAAAAAAAAAGAAAAAAAAAAAAGTCATCAGACCTAATTATTGAGGGGAGCACAAGCATATAGTAGCTATTCTATATATCGGCAAAATAATTGGGGGGCATGGCCCCCCGTGCCCCCCCCCCCGGTTCCTACGGCCATGGTGCTACATCATTTTGAAGATTTTTTTGCCATAGAAAATACATGAATATATCAGGCATGGTCAAGTGATATTTTTCTCTGAATAACCTCTATTTTCTTAGGGTTATTAAAAAATTACGAAGTCACTGGTACTTGAATTTTACTTCCTTATAAACGAGATTCTTTTTATCCGTACAAGAAACAAAGTAAAAAGTGGCCTATGGGATTCCGAAAAAAATCTTGAACCGAGATTTCCATATAACCGACTTTGACTGTATGATACTGGTGTTCGCTTTGTATTTTCCCAAAAATTTAACTGTATCAGTGGGAATGGCTTTTCTTGTAACCGTAGTGATATACTTTGGACTGAGATGAACAAAATAAAAAAAGAAGTTTGGTGTTATATATATATAATTTAATTTTGTTTGTATTCTAGCCTCTGATTGGTTAATATCCAAAAAGGAACACAAATTATTTCTGTATAACCTGGTTTGGTATGGGGACACACCCCCCCCTGACAACCAGCTGAATCGTCTGTATCCATGCAATCCTCTCATTTCCAGTCCTCGGGATTCATGGAAAATTCCAGATTTAATAAATGTACCTTTAACTTCAAACAGTAACTCGGATCTTACCACATGTAAACAAAAAACATGGCTGCTAGGACTATGTATCAGTTTTTACCTCCCCTTGCTTCCCATCACTTCCGTTACTAGGGTTGTATTATTGAGCGGCAAATTTGAACTAATAAAAAGCAACGAAATTTTACACCCAGAGTTGTTTAATGATTTTAGAATTAAATTATAAGGAATGACTCTAATTCTTGGCCAAATTATTCGAGGATAACCTGGATTGGGTCAGTTTACGCTGTTTTATAATCCGCTTCGCGGATTATAAAGCGTAAACTGACCCAAACCAGGTTATCCTCGAATAATTTGGCCAAGAATTAGAGTCATTCCTAAAATATATATATATATATATATATATATATATATATATATATATATATATATATATATTAGGGATGTCAACGAATATTCGAGTACTCGACTATCGTTCGATCATACCGACTATCGACTAAAATTTCTTTAGTCGGTTATTCGTTTAAAATGTGTTACCTAATAGTAATTTTGAATTCAAGGTAATAAACTTGGATTCGCCCATTTCATTTATATACAGATCAATGTTCTCGTAAGTAAAACTCAGCGTATGGTTTAACTGCTCAAAGGAAATTATCTGTATGTCGATTTATGTTCGGCAAATATGCCTCCAAAATATACAGTTTTGATATACTTTAAAAGATGTCATGATGGAAAAAAAAGTTAAAAGTACGTTATCATGGTTATGTGAAACTGAACTTGTATTCTGCAGTGGAACATCAAATATTATGTATCATATGCCGAATCTGTCAAACATACATGTAGTTAACACAGTCTTTAAGTGAAACTTTTCTTAAGTAAGTGCTCCGCAAAAAATGCCAAAAAAGCAGAGCCGGAAAGAAAAGGGTTGCTATCACAAACATGATTATCAAGGAGTGTCTACCACTTATTGTTGCAAATGGAGAGGATGTTCAAGGATTGTCTGGTTTTGTAGATTCAAATTATAAAGTTTGAACCTGCAATTCCATAATGCAACTATTCATAAAGAATAATTAAACATCTGTTACAAAATTGTAAATACTTGTAAATTCGGTAACAGTTATGAGCGTAATTATTAATTAATTTAATGGTGTTTCTTTCTGATATTAATATCATGCAGTCATTCAAGATTGTATTGATTATTTGTACAAAATCTCATAATTAAAATTTATCGCAAGCTCTCTCTGGTTTTATAAAAGGCACGCTTTAATTGTTTACCAGTCAAAGGTCACTGACATGACACGTAGAAATGGCTTCAATTAACGGGTATACATGTACTATAGTTATGAAAAAAAAGGACAAATGCGAGTGTTCGATACCATCCATTTGATAAAATGTGCAGTAAATATTATATTAATTTTAAAATCAAATACATTGGATAGATGTAGATGTACAATATTTATTGTACAACGTAAATGTTTACGCTTTAGAAATTCGTTATATGTATAATGGTGATAGCGTACAGTGTAGGTTAAATATTGTACAACTAGTCTATAAAAGATAAATAGTGAAAATGACATGAAAATTAATTTAAATTTCAACGAATATTCGACTATCGTTCGACTAAAGCCTCCGACTATTCGACTAAGCCGTCCGAATAAAATTAACATCCCTAATATATATATATATATATATATATATATATATATATATATATATATATATATATATATATATATATATATATATATATATATATATATATATATATATATATATATATAGAAAACCACCTAATGAAATGATATTGGAATTACATGTATATTGTAAATTATAGTATAGTCATTTTAATAAATTTTATGAAAATATAACATGTATTTGATTATAAAGTCTTTCCACCTTCTGGGGGAAGAGCTCTTGAAATTGTTCTGTTGATTTTTTTTTCTTTTTGCTCTCTAAAATGTTTTTTTTTTTTCGTTTCAAAGTTTATCAAAAAGATTTTTTCTTAGTGGAAGAGGACCTAAGAAAATATGACTCAAGAAATTTGACACGTCTTTCAACTATGACCCCTTTCGGAGTTATTTCCCATGTCAAGTAAAGTGGTCGTTATCACTGCTCCTCTAAAACCGCAATTAAACCGTAGAGAAACCAGACCTTAATCAACTTTAGTAGAAGCTTCAGTCTATTCAGTGCGAAAGGGTTTATCGAGATCTATTAGTTATTGCCCCTGAAAGTTTTTGCTGTTTATGTTAAATTATGAATTGTAGGGTCATGGGATTAACTGTAATACATTCTTCAACCGTTGATCTTGAAATTTAGGTCAAGGTCATTTGAAAGCAAAGAAATTCTGCTTTTTCATATCTCTTTTGTCTTTCAACATATAAATCAATGCATGTTTGACTGCTCTTTTAAAAGTATATTTCAGAAGTAGCTTTCGCGACTCCCAGCTTCGAATTCCCCATTGGAGTTATTTCCTTTTGCATGATAAACCTTGTTGTCGCTACCCCTCGAAACCGAAAACCGTAGCGGCACGAAACGATCATCGCTGTATTACCTTACAAGGTGATTTTCCAACCTATTCATTGTGAAAAAATGTAGACTTCTTGTGACAGTTGTTGCCCATTAAAATCTTGAGCTTTCATCATCAAAGCCAAACTTTTAAAGGGTGACTCCTAGAAACATTGGACTGGCTGCAATAGAACGTGTGACCTTTGAGCATGAAAGTTGGGTCAAAATTAAAGGTCAAGGTCAACGTAATCTAGACGAATAGTTGATATAGGCCGTTTACCCAAATGACCTTAAATTTTGACTTTGACATTGACCCTGATCCAAGTGTAAGAAGTAAAATTTAGAGCAAGTTTCTAGACTCAGCTTGCGGTGTATTTAAATTTCTCAATTTGCAGAAAATAAATTAGAGGTTTTATTTTTTTTTTTTAAATGACCTTAAATGTTGACCCTTAGTGTTCATTACATGAGAAAAGACTCTAAGATTTATACATGTATGTTTAGATTGCTTGTAGTAAGTAAAAATGAGATGGAAAACAGAATGCACTCAATTGTTTTAAGCCTGTGGAAACAATATATAAGTTGCTTATAGTAAAACAAATTAGATTCGTACTTTCTTTCTTCTTGGAAACCGTCATGTAAATTAGGAGCTCCCCAATTTATAAAAAAAAAATGGGTAAATATGTTAAATCGTACAATCATCATCATTTATTTTAAATTAAATAGACTCTTAGACTTAAATAGATTCATATCAGCTATATAAGACTTTTAAAATATCTTTTGTAAATATCTAGTTAAATTTAAGTCATAAAATAAGGACTATGTGGTTGCTAAAGACACTGTTGAAGGCAGACGGGTAGCAACGGTTTCAAAAGTGGGGTGGCTTAGGGGCAACAACCCTCCCCCCCCCCCAAAAAAAAACTGTCCAACTGCCAAAAAACTGGGGCGGGGGGGGGACTTCTAGAATTAATCTGACAAGCGAAAAAAAAAAAGAAAAGAAAAAAAAATGTCCAAGTCTAAGAATTTGCTCGACCTTACAGATACAGTTGTGTGCCAAAAGTGAAGATAATTTTATTTTTTCCCTATATATTTATTTCATTGAAAACAACATTTTGTAAAATCACTGGAATGAATACATTTCTTGACAGATTTTACCACAATTTTCTCGATAATTCAAACATTTGTTATATTTGATAAAAACAGTAGTTTTTATCTGATCAGCATCGATAGGCCTATTTAAAAAATATAGTAATTCAAGTGCGACATGAAAATTTAAGTCATATACGCACAACTTTGATCTTGAATTTTAGAACTGATGTAAATGAAGAACTATCTTTTTCTAAAAATTAAGTATGTGATTATCTTTAAAAAAAAGATAACTACACATTTTCTGGTTTAAGTATTGAAATAAATAATGAAATTGGACAAAAATTGACCATTTGCCAGCGATTTAACTATATGTGGTTTACAATAAAATAAAGAGAGAAGAAATAAATTAATCTTCACTTTTGGCACACGTCTGTACATGTAAAATAAAGGAAATAAAGGGGAGGGGTTAACCAGCAATTTAACTATTTTTAAATGAAAATTTATTATAAATCAGAATACTTTACTCAGAAAAAGCCACCCCCCCCCCCCGCGCATTCTACAGACTTATCTATGTGAGGTACAAAAAATGTAAGAATTAAGTAACCTTTAATTTATCAAAGTTTTGTTGCCGATATCACAGGTACCTGTAGGGGATATATCATTCAAACCATAAAAACTTGGTAGCGAATCGTGTGGTAACCGCCCATGAAATAGCGTCAATGAAAATTGCGCGAATTCTTGGATCTTGTTCCAGATACTCCCCTCAACAAAGCTATTTCTGCAAAGCATTTACACATATGTCTGACTGGATAAACAGGCGTTTTACTATTGTGTTACCAGGACAAACAATTTCTATAACAAATGTTTTGAAAAAAGAAGATCCGCCTCCGAACAGCTTCGACAAAGAACAAGAAAGTCACAGTCATGGATTTCTGCTTGGTTTTGGATTTAAACAATTTATTCACAATAGAGAAAATGTGGATAATTACCTGAACTCGGCCATAACAGCTTATAATGTAACCAGAGATCTAAATATTGCAAATATTGATGGTGTGAACGTAGCAAGCGTATATATTGGGGAAAGTGAAAGTAGATTTCCAGTCACTCGCGGCGTGGCCCTGTATTCGGCAAATTGTGCACATATATCAACTTGGCAATTAAATCTAGATACAGAAAAGATACCAATGATAAAGAAAATATTTCAAAAATATGGAATAGATACAGTATTTCGAATAAGTCCTCTCCCCAAAGAAAACAGAAGAAATTGTAGGACTGAAAATAACAAAGCCATAGGAGTGTTTCGATACGACGATTTATCTCAGTCATGTACACCTGTAGAGAAGGCACAGTTTCAGATATGCGATTCTAGTCCAGGTTCGACCTCTCCAGTGTTTGACAGTGAATTGTATTGCCCTGTTTTCCACAATCTATCGAGAACAAGGTCCATTTTGGAAAAGGTATTTATATTTTCAATTTGTCCTAATGAACAACGTATTACTGCATTATAAATTATTGGCACTCTCCAGAATTTGAAAATAAAGATATATCTACTGTAATGGTTTGGGCCGTGGATATCGTCCTGGGTAGCTCAGTCGGTAGAGCACCTGACTAGTGATGCAGGGGTCCTGAGTTTGAATCCTGGTCCAGCCATACACTTTCTCCTTTCCCATTGCAGATTTGGTGCCGTTGGCCACCCCTGGACTTGCAGGTGAAAGTCCTGCCAGGGGCAATGAGAACTTGGGTTCTGTCTGGGAGGGTGAAGACGATTTAAGGAGAGAGAATGTATAAATGGTTCTGGCCATGGATATGGGCCTGGGTAGCTCAGTTGGTAGAGCACCTGACTACTGACTAGTGATGCAGAATTCCCAGGTTGGATTCCCGGTCCAGCCATACATTTTCTCCTTTCCTGTTACATTTGCTATACCATATACTAGGGTGTGCATTTGCAATATACATGTTTACAATGATACATGTAGAATTTTCGCAAATCATTGACACTTATTTTAAATAATTGACAAGCTCTTTTTGCTGTTGACAAGTTCTTTTTGCTGTTGTCAAGTTCTCTTTGCTGTTCTTTTTTGTGTTGACTAGATCTTTTTGCTGTTGAATAGTTAATGAAGGGCTGTGTATATACCAAGATCAATAAATCATGCTTGTGGTTACCTTCACTTTTTGGTGCTGATAAAGAAATAGATGAATGAACAATTCAGTAGAGGTTGATTACCAGTCAACTGGATGAAATTTACACAACTTTTCAAAAGCTCAAGCATGCTCTTTTGAGTTTCACCATAAAAAATACAGCAAATGTTGTAAACAGTATATAGAGAGCTTGTACTGTGTTGTTAGCTTTGGGGCAATGCTGAGCTTTGGGACAATGCTAAGCTTTGGGGCAATGCTACATGTAAGCTTTGGGGCAAAGCTAAGCTTTAGGACAAAGCTTCTCAGATTGGAATGAAGTTTAATGTATTATAGGGAAATTATTTGTTGTTGCTAGCAAGTTGGCTTTTCTAGTGATTTGGTAGAGTATAGCTCCCTCTATTTCAGGTATAGAAAACTAGAAAAGACATGTCACCATTTTATAAGTCTAAAATATCAGTGAAATTATTACTTCATGTATATCAACAAAACTGCATTAAAATCTGAATTTACCTATAAAGTTACCTTAGAATCATATTCAAGGATTCTGTCTAAAACTTGTATTCAATCATATAGCACAAAGCTAATCCATCAAAAAAATGTTTAAGTCCACAGTTTGGATGAAAGAGGCAGAAGAACTTCTTGAAATTTGTGATGCCACAGTTTCTTCAGACTTTAACCTTGAAGAACTGAAGAAGAAGATGAAATTTCCATTTGTTGTTGTGGAGGGTTTAGATGCCACTGGTAAGTACAAATAAAACATGATAATGTTCTAACATTGTTATTGTTTTCAAGAACAATATCAAGAGGTTTGACAAAGAGCTTTCTATTTTCTAAAAATTAACAATAAACATTTATATAATAGTGTTATGACTTATGTACTATGCAGAAAAAGTGGTCAGGGTTTGACATATGGTGGTTGAGCTGGAGACACCATTATAATTATTATGCTGACTGTTGTATGTATAACAACAATAGTACATAGTACATATACCTCTAGTTTACAATAATTTGCAATGTGTCCATGTTTTGATATCTGGCAATTACAAGACAAATACAGTGTTCACATAAACCTCAATACATGTAACTGAAAAAAAACCCTGTTTTAGGGAAGACAACATTGACTGAGACCTTGGAGAAGAAAATGTCTGCCTGTAGATACTTCACACCTCCTCCCGCTATACAGCATCTGAGGGAACATTTTGATAACCTCCCAGAAATTGTCAGAAGGGCCTACTATACCATTGGCAACTATATTGTTTCCATAGCAATACTAAAAACATGTCAGGAAAGACCTGTTATTATGGACAGGTGAGTACATAGATGAAATAGAAGTTTTGATGTGAAATTAAAAAAGAATGTGCATACATTAAAAGTTGTGGTTCACATATATTTCTGTCACTTTCCAGAGTTACTTCTCTGTTAACAGAACATAAACTTTTATTTCTCCTTTATAGCCCCCTTTTTATACCCCCCCCCCCCCCCCTCCGAAGAAGAGGGGGTATACTGTTTTACCCTTGTGTGTCCGTTTGTGTGTCTCTCCGTAACAAGTTTTCATCACAGTTTCCTCAGCAACTACTCATCCCTGATGCTTACAATTTTAGCACACTATTTATCTAGGCATGCCATATGGTGGGATTCATTTTTGTACAAATCTGATATCAACTTCCTGTTTATTTCTGCATCTGTCCGTACCAAATTTTCATTGCAGTTTTTTCCAGCAAATACTCATTGCTGATGCTTGAAATATTAGCACATTCTTTGTCTAGGCATCCATATGGTGGAATATATTTTTGTACAAATCTGGACTGGGTTGCTCAAAACCTTGGTTAGCGCTAACTGCTGGTTAAATCTTTTATCCAGCAGTTAACTTTTAACCATTGGTTAAATTTTGTTGCTCAGAATTTATCCACTGGTTAACTTTGCTATCCAGTGGTTAAATATTGGCCAAAGTTTGCCATTCCACAGAGGTGGGTTTAGTCTCTTATCCAGTTGATAATAATGGCTGCCTTGTTTTTGTTTTTTCGTAAATTTTGAAGGATAACACAAGAAGCTAAGGCTTATATGAATTGTAATCATGAATTTAATGTTGAGGAGTACTAACAAAGACACAGTCATTTATAAGTCAAGTAGAAATGGCTTTGCAGCAGTATGGAAGAGGAGATAACAATACTATCAGAGATATGATAGGATTTCATGTTTCAGCATCAGCAAGAATTATGTTTCGAATGGGTTTTTAAAGGCTAAAATTGTTGGTGTTACAAAGGATTTTATCAAGTGACAATTTCCTGCTGATAAAAAAATGATGATAAATATATGTATGTAAAAATGAATAAAATTGTTTGTCATTTGTATACAGGCTTAATAACGGATACAAATAAATAGATATATTACTTTGATAACCAAACATAAACTATTAAAATACATTAGAATAAATTGGGAATTGATACCCCTCCCTTCTCTTCAAATGTCTTGTTTTTTTTTTTTATTTAATCATTTTTTACAATATTAATTATCATTCGCTTGACAATGATTTTTTTATTGACCCAATTTTTTTAAGCGATGCCTCTTGCCTGATGCATTAAATAAAGAGTGTATCCCCTACTTCCTTTGATTTTACATTCATTTTGACTAGGTACCTCTGTGATTATAAATAAATAAAAATAATTTTAAAAATGATTTGCACATTTGATATTTATAGATATCTATATATAGTCCTTTATTTTTTCTAAATATTGATAGTTATTAAAGGTGTGGTATTTATGTAATAAACTTTGGATAATGCATTAATGCGTTTTAGTTACACAGTGTATGGGTACGGAGCGAAAAGCCTTAGTGACGAAATCAATTTATCTATGTATTCGACCATGACATTTCTGTTACAGAAGTGCAAATAGTAGTGACTACTAACTATCTGTGTTATTAAGACAGATATAAATGTGATAAAAGTTTCTTTTTTTTTCTTTGTAAGTGTTTGAAATGAGTTCCCTCAGGAAAGGTAACTATTTAAATCAAGAATGCAGACAGTGCGAATTTCCTCGGATGCATAGCAGACGACGTTTACTTGGTGATAACATGTAAAGGTGGTCAATCAGTTATTATTTAAGCATGAGACGATGCAAATTGATGCACTTAGCTTGTAAGTATTGAATAGGAATAATTCCGATGAGATATTGCGAGTCACTATGCATTGTCTTGAACACTATCTAGATTCAATGAGGGCTATGGTGCCCACCATCAGTCTTATTTTACACAGCCCACTTTCTATCTTCGCAGCGGCGCTAATTCTCCTAAACCACTCTATGTTCTTATCGATCCTCCACTTGAATTTACAGCATAATTCTTAGACAATCCTGTGCTTTCTTGACTTTTCGTGACTTAAACCGTTTGTTTAGTGTTAATAAATGTTACGTCTATGGTAATTTCTCCACTTCTTCAAGACATTTGTAACACTATATAACTTCTCACTTTTTACTCATATTGTATTAACCATAGTAGCCATTTTCTTTTGTTAAAGAGTAGACAAATGTAATGCATTGTGGGACACTAACCACTGGTTAAATCACTTAACCTGTGGTTAACTAACCAGGGGCTAATTTTATTTTGAGGAACAGATATTTGACCAGTGGATATAGAATTTAACCACCGGCTAACTTAACCAGTGATCAAAATTAACCAGTGTTTTGAGCAACCCAGTCCTGATGTCTACTTCCTCTTTATCCGTGCATCAGTACATATCAAATTTTTGTCGCAGTCTTCTCAGCAACTACTCATTGCAGGTGCTTGAAATTTTAGTACACTCTTTGTCTAGGCATGCCATATGGTGGGATTCATTTTTTTTACCAATCCGATGTCAACTTCCTATTTATCCATGTGTCGGTCCATACCAAATTTTAGTCACAGTTTTCGCAACAGAATTTTAACACACTCTTTGTTTAGGCATGCCATATGGTGGGATTCATGAGAGCATATTCACGTCAGAGCGGGGGTATAACTAGTGAGCATTGGCTCACAGACTTCTTGTCGATTCTTATGGGGAAATGCAATCATCTATGAAATTTTTTTTTCCTTAACAATGTAAATCATGAAGTTCTCAGCTTTATTTGCAATTAACTGATTCACTGATGTAACCAATAGCCATAATAACTATATATGGTCTTTTCCTGTTCATTGTGACAAATATGAAATCACCTTACCACATTTTTGACACCTTCAATAGAACAAAAAGGCCAAATTCAATCAAGCGTACATTAAAGTACTTTTTGGCAATGAGATTTCAACTGTTTTCTAATCCTTCTAAAGGGAGATGATAAACAAAAAGAGAATATGGGGTGTTGCAGGATTTGATGCTAAGTTTTCTTGTCCAGTCATGGAAGTTTTGTTTGAAAGATTTGTATGCATGTTTTCTCTTTTAAAACTGATGACCAGTATTTTAATAATTTGATTTCAGACATTTGATTTTTGGTTCATACTTTGTAATTAGAACATAAGGTATTTCCTTTGTTTTCTTGGCTTTACATCCCATATTATCTTAATAAATCTAATTAAAGTGTGTTTCATTATTTATTTTGAATTATCAAACATTACAAATTTTATACAAAAATAAAAAAGGTTTTATTTCTTGTAATCGAATTGAAATTATTCGAAAATCGAGGTTTTTGTTTGAACCGAATCGATTAAAAAAATTTGTGATTTGTGGCAGCCCTATTGTTCACAGTATACAGACATTTTTAGTTCACCTTACATGAAGTTAGGGGAGCTTATGTAATACCCTCGGCGTCGGCGTCCCAGGTTAATGTTTTTGGAACAGTTTTCTTTTCAAGTATTTCTATGGCCTATATTAGTCAGAGATTCATGGAGGATGCTTCTAGTGTGTTTTATTGTACCAGTCAAGGTTTGAGATGCTGCAATTTCAGCTAAAGAATGACCAGGTTAATGTTTTTGGAGCAGGTTAAAGTTTTTGGGGCTGGTTAAAGTTTTTGGAGCAGGTCTCATTTCCAAGTAACTATAAGCCCTATATTGACCAAACTTGCATGGATGATACATCTAAGGATGCACACTACTGAACTTGCTTCGGATGCAGGATCTGACCTACATTTTCTGGATGAGTAACTAGGTTAAAGTTTTTGGAGTAGATCTCATTTCCAAGTAACTATAAGCCCTATATTGACCAAACTTGCATGGATGATACATCTAAGGATGCACACTACTGGACTTGCTTTGGATGCTGGATCTGACCTATATTTTCTGGATGAGTGACCAGGTTAAGGTTTTTGGAGCAGATGTCATTTCCAAGTAACTATAAGCCCTATATTGACCAAACTTGCATGGATGATACATCTAAGGATGTACACTACTGGACTTGCTTCGGATGCTGGATCTGACCTATATTTTCCGGATGAGTAACCAGATTAAAGTTTTTGGAGCAGATGTCATTTCCAAGTAACTTTAAGCCCTATATTGACTAAACTTGCATGGATGATACATCTAAGGATGCACTCTACTGGACTTGCTTCGGATGCTGGATTTGACTTACATTTTCCGGATGAGTAACCAGGTTAAAGTTTTTGGAGCAGATCTCATTTCCAAGTAACTATAAGGCCTATCTGAACCAAACTTGCATGGATGATGCATCAAGGGACGAACAATCTCAAAACTTGCTTCGGATGCTGGATTTGACTTACATTTTCTGGATAAGAGACTAGTGTTAAGTTTTCAGATAAGTCTATTTCCAAGTAACTGCAAGCCTTATCAGACCAAAGTTGCATAAATGTTGCATCTAGGGATGCACACTCCTAGATTATTAGTTTAGTGTGGGACTTTGCCTTACTTAAAGACAACATTTGTTGAGGTGAGCTCTGTAATCTCTGATTACCTATGTTTAGTAATCTGTCAAAATCAGAAAAATTAATGTTTAGTAATGAATGAAGGATGGGGCAAAAAAAAATGGCAGGTTTTAATCATATTGAATCTTTTAAAAACGTTTTCTGAGGATAAAATTACCATCTACATGAAGTTTGATTTTTAAAGAACACTTTCTGGAGGATAAAGCTATCATCTTTTTATCATGTTTATTATCTCTTCTTTTTCAAATTTTAAAAGAGTTGTAAACAAGAAACAGGAAAAACAAAATCAGATATCATGTGTCAGAAAATGTTCTCATATTTTACACAGGTGCATATTAAGGCCTTGGGCCTCTTTTTTTTTTAGATAAATATGACTGAAAAATATAAAACAGAAATGCAGTAATATGTTTTTTTGATTGGCAAAATATAAGTGTTGACATTATGAATCCCTGAATCCTTCACCATTTTCTTCATCTGCTCCAGATATTGGCACAGCACTGCAGCATATGGTATAGCAAATGAAACTAGCAATGAGGACATACCACAGGAGGGCCACTGGGTGTATAAGTGGCCCCATGACCTTTTAACCCCTGACATTGTCCTGTTTCTGACAGTCAGTGAAGAGATCCGAAAGCAGAGGATGATGGGAAGAGGAGGGGAGAAAACCATGGAAGAAAAACATTTGGATAAAGATAGACTTTTCAGAGAGAGGTAAATTCTTATCTTAAACAGTTGCAGGGTAATTGATTAATATTGTACACTGCATACTTGTTTATACCTTCAGCTTAATTTCTTCCTATAGCAATGCCCTGTTCACACAAAAGCACATTAACTTTTTTATTTGCAGTAAAATAATACAAAGTAAAACTAGTATTAATTGTAACGGGGACCGTTACAGATGTTCCCCAAACGCTCCCCAACTTCCTTTTGGTGTCTTATTCCCCGTAAGCTTCATTAAAAAAGGCAATCAAGTATATTGGGTTTTTTTTTTTCTACGCATTACACGCGCGCGCACGGGCATTCATGTACAAAATGACCATGTCAACTTGTCCGCACTTTTAATACATCTTTATATTCAAATTTCATTAAAAGATAAAAAAAAATTCGGTTATATTAAGTATATCTGTCATTTTACGCATTGCACGCGCGCGCACGTGCATGCATGTCCATGATGATCGTGTCATCTTGTCAACACTATTAATATATCTACATATTTCGGGTATCAAATCATTTCCTCAAAAAGTATAAAAGTTACAGCTATATCAAGTATATTGGTCATTTTAGCATTGCGTGCGCGCGCACGTGCATGCATATGCATGTTGACAATGTCGTCTTGTCTACATTTATAGTATGTCTATATATTCTGAGTATCAAAGCATTACATCAAAAAATGTAAAAGTTCTGGCTTTATCAAGTATATTGATCATTTTACTCATTGCACGCGCACGCACGTGCATGCAAATGCATGCATGTGTGCGCTGATCATGTCATGTTGTCTATAGTTCTAATATATATTTATATTCTGAGTTTCAAAGCAATTCATCAAAAAATATACAAGTTAAGTCTATATCATTTGTATAGGTTATTGTAATCATTGCGCATGCGCACACGTGCATGAATGTGCATTCTGGCCATGTCATCTTGTCTACACTATTAATATATCCTGATATCCTGAGTATCAAAGCATTTCATCAAAAGATATGAAACTTATGGCTATATCAAGTATATTTGTCATTATACTCATTGCACGCGCACGCACGTGCATGCATGTGTGCGCTGATTAAGTCTTCTTGTCTACACTTCTAATATATATTTATATTCTGAGTGTCAAAGCAATTCATCAAAAAATGTACAAGTAAAGTCTATATCAATTGTATTGGTTATTTCAATCAATGCGCATGCGCGCACGTGCATGCATGTGCATTCTGACCATGTCATCTTGTCTACACTATTAATATATCCTTATATTCTGAGTATCAAAGTATTTCATCAAAAGATATGAAAGTTATGGCTATATCAAGTATATTGGTCATTTTACTCATTGCACGCGCACGCCCGTGCATGCACGTGCGCGCAAAATGACCTTCGTTCCGCAAATCTACATAACATTCCTATTAACCCTAAAAAGGTTTCAACTCAATCGGATGTATAGTTTCGGAGATCACTCACGGACAAAAAAGTACCCAGGAAGAAAAATAATAATAATAATAACTAGACTCTTGTTGCCATGGCAACAAAAAAGTCTTCCGTTCTACTAAATCTGTAAGAATTTGCTTTTTTCTGTGTAAAAAACATACATATCATATTTACTGTGAAAGAAATAAATAACTGGAGGAAAGTCCTTTCAGTACTTAAGGTACTTTGATTTTCATGATCAATCTTGTATAATGCATTTGGCACCTATGAGATATTTACGTATATCATAGAGCAAGGATAATTAACATTTAAAAAAAAATGTTTGCAATAAATTCTAAGACAAACAAACAGACGAACGAACACCGTACTATCACAAACTTTACTGTGTATATGTTCTGGCATATAATTGTGATGGTGTTATAAAAAATATAATGAATTAAGTTAATATCAAATTAAACGTAAAGTCACTGAGTTTTGAATATAATATAATATTAAGATTTGACAGCATACCTATAAGAAAGATTATTCAATTACAGTAATTATTCAGCAATCGATTGATTGATTGATTGATTGATTGATTGACTATTCATCTTCTTCTCTTAGAATCATTTGGCCCATTTATCACACTGGTCAAATCCTCACATTATATGACAAGAAAAACATTTAGCGTATTAGATAATCAAACGCTCTCGTGTTATGATCAATCCATTCTATTCATGTGAATGATATGTAGAATTCAAACGTATGCTGGAGATGCCCGTTTTCATACTTGTATTAAATGTTTAGTCAGTAACACGTCTTTCCGATGATGGCAAATTCACAGCTAATTAATTACCTATTTAAAATTCTAATATAAGCCTCGTATTGCACCACCGAAACACTAAATCTGTGTCAGAGTCAAGTGATTTTAGTGCGTTACTGTTGGGACCCACTTTCTTTGAAACAGATCAAAGTGTTAACAATGAGTAGGTTGTTTGCTTAGTTCATTAAAATTTCTAATTAAATTTTTCTTGGTCATCCTTCCAAAGTTTAAATAAAAGTGATGCACCAACTACGGGTGTATATATGATAAATTCTCAAATTTGATTTTTTTGTTTGTTTGTTTTTTAACGTCCCTCTCGAGAATTTATCACTCACATGGAGACGCCAGCACTCGCCGGTGGAGACTGCAAATTTTTGTCCTATACTTTGGCACTTATCGCCATTGATCAGTGAGGAATCTTTTTTGTGCCAGCACCTTCTGCGACACGGGACCTCGATTTAAAGGATCCAAAGGACCGGTCTCCACGTCCCACAATCGAAGTTTATAATACCGAGATATTTTATTTATTTTATTTTATTTTATTTTTTCACAAGTTTGTTGCATTGGATTTACTTAAAGATCATACTTCAAGATCATTTCGAACTCAGGCTATTTAATTGCAGTGCAGACAGCGCGGGTGATCTTGATTGACAGGTCAACACACGTGCACTTCGTGTGATACTTTTTAAGCAGAAAAATATACAGAATGTGACCATGAC